CATGATCCTGGAGTCCCGGGATCGAGTCCCGCATCAGGCTCCCTGCTCGGCAGGGCGTCTGCTTCTCCCTCTGACCCTCCCCCCTCTCATGCTCTATCTCATTCTCTCTCTCAAATAAATAAATAAAATCTTAAAAAAAAAAAAAAAAGAATTCTTACCCTTCTCTGGCTTTTACCAGTTTTCTCAGGATCCCCTCTGCAGGCTCCACAATCTATTAGAATTTGGCAAAGTTTTTCATTCATTTTCATTTTAGTTTCCCCTGGGCTTTTTAAGGAAATAACATAGCAGTTTTCCAGAAAATCCATCAGAGTCTTATCAACTCTGGGGGGCCCCCACAATGGGGGGCTCTCCTTTGTAGGTAGATATGGGGGCATTTGATTGATATTGAAAAATTTGCACAAAATCTTTAAGGACAGGATTTCTCCTTATGTCTCAGATGATTACAAATGAGACATCAATTTCTGGGCCAGTGTTTTGATGATGGACCCCTAGGAGGTTGTAATGAAGAAGGCCTAGGTATTGTTTTAGATACTTTTTGCATCTTTAATTTTTCATTAGCCTTTTGCAAGGAAACTTTTAATGAAGTTATTTTGGAATCTTAAAGCCTTTTGGAAGGTTTTACATACCAATTAGAATAGGTATCCCATTCTGTTTGCTTGATTTGGAAACTCTTGTTTGTAAGTGCACTTCTTTAAAAAATGATCTTGTCTCATTGGAATGTTACCCATAATGGCCATTGTAATTCTAGGTTGTCTTTAGTTAGATTTTGCCATTTTAGTAGTATATATAGTTTCTGGGAGTTCTAAGGCATAAAATAAGCAGATGTGCCAGAAGGTGGCGTGCTCAGCTCTTTGGAATTTGAGGATTTTTTTTTTTTTTTTTTTTTTTTAGCTAAGCTTTGGGTCTCTTGGAGGCAAACTAATACCTAAGGGGGATGTGCCACTCGGTTGGGGATTATGTGGTGTTTTACAGTGTGCCTTGTTACATGGACATTTTCTTGAGGTTGGTGAGTAACCTGGTGTCAATCTAACCCACTACATGACCAATGTATTCTACCATGGGAGTCTTAGAGTTAAGTAGCAGATGCTCTAACAACTTTTAAGTGCTCAACCCATGCCCACCAATTTTGCAGCTTTTGGCTTCCAAGATTCCATTAGCAATAGCCCTTACCGACACAATACAAGTAAAACAAAATTCTGTTTTGGACCCAGTTTTTATGTTGGATTCAGTCTGACTCTAGCCAGTAACGACCAGCAGTTCCCAACTTGGAATTTGGGGACTGAACCAAGAGCTGGAGATTCCAATCAAATGGGGAACTGTGGAAAGCTAATTAGATGGGGAGCTTGATGCAAAGAGAGTGGAGCTCAGAACCAAGAAAAACTTACCCACAGCCCTCAGAAATGGCAAGAAAGAGAATTCAAAGTTCTGCAGGTATCATGCCTGTGTTTCTCATTGTTCCTGAAGCCATCAGGAGTGTTCTTTGTATTCCATCACTGCTACCAATTCTCTTTAAAACAAAGCTCAACTGAGCACATTTTACAATCCTACAGGCTTTATTTAGTAACTCATGAATCAAGCAGCATCCCACCTAGCAGATAGAACAGAGCTCCAAAGAGCTGCACAGAATGAAAGACTTTCATAGGCAGAAGGGGATAGGATAAGGAAGTGAATAGTAAAAAACAGATTGTTTGTGGCCAGGTCACCTTCCTTTAGGGGATGACAGATGTCTTAAGAGGCAGATTACCTCATTGGTGATAACCAGGTAACTCCAGATTAAGATTCCACTCCGGGAAGAGGTTGAAACTGTAATTAAGTTAGGTATTAAGTCTCATTTTGGTGACGTGGACTTCGCATAAGAGATTCCATTTGGATTCTGTTGTCTCTTTGCAAACAGTAGTTGTGACAGAAACAGTATGGCCAACAAAGTAAAAAAATATTTACCATCTGGTGCCAGCCCTCGATCTAAAGTATGGGTTAAGGTAGTGAAAAGAAGGGGCACCTGCACCCCCAATGTTCATAGCAGCAATACCCACAATAGCCAAACTGTGGAAGGAGCTGAGATGCCCTTCAACAGATGAATGGATAAAGAAGATGTGGTTCATATATACAATGGAATATTACTCAGCCATCAGAAAGGATGAATACCTACCATTTACATTGACATGGGTGGAATTGGAGGGTATTATGCTAAGTAAAATAAGTCAATCAGAGAAACAAAATTATCATATCGTTTCACTCATATGTGGAATATAAGAAATAGTGCAGAGGATCATAGGGGAAGGGAGGGAAAACTGAATGAGAAGAAATCAGAAAGGGAGACAAACCAGGAGAGACTATTGACTCTGGGAAACAAACTGAGGGTTCTGGAAGGGGAGGTGGGTGGGAAGATGGGGTAACTTGGTGATGGGCACTAAAGAGGGTATGTGATGTGATTAGCACTGGGTGTTATATGCAACTGATGAATCATTGAACACTACATCAAAACTAATGATGTACTATATATTGGCTAATTGAATTTAAATTAAAAAATAAATAAAAACGTAAAAAAAATAAAGTACAGGTCAAAAAAAAAAACAAATAAAATCCCAATGTTTCAGTTACCAAATTTAGAACTTACAAGATAGCAGGAAGCAAAAGAGGTTATGTAAATAGATAATCATAAAATAAAAATATATTTTCAATGTAATTTATATCATGGTTTTTGATGTGTGAAATCTATCATTTTTAAAGGCATTACCATTGCTATCTGGACTCAGGAAAGAAAGCACACTCCAAACATAATAACTGAAACTACAAACTATTTGACTAATAAATAAACTAACTTTACTTAGCAATTAAACATTCAATATTGAATTCAAGTCAGATATGTGTATATAAAACAACTAGTCTCTAATTATATGTCATAAATCAAAATCCAAACTGAAGTCATATCGGATATATAATGTAAGCATTGCCCATTATTTAAAAAAAAGGGGAAGGATTATCTAACCTGCCTCTTAAATATTAGATGCTATATTAACATCCTTGAGTTGTGTTGGGCAGTGCAAGAGTTCAGGAGAGAAATACAAGACACTTGAAAAAATAAAATTACATATTGGAATTATGGGAAACCCGCATTTGTTTATTCCTTTGTACGTCCCAATAAATATTTATTGAGCATGTATGATATGCAAATGACCCTTCCAAGTTCTATGAGGGATGCAAATATTCTCATCTTGAAGGAATTTATCATCTTTGGGGAAAATAATACATGTGCACACCCGTAATTATAATACAACTCAGAATCTGGTGAGTTCAGTAGGAGTACAGGGCTATATAGGGGGCATTAGAAAGAGAGTCTGAGAGAACGTTATGAGCAAAGCTGAAAATAGGAAAATAGAAGGTGCATTTGGGAAATGTTGAACATCATACTGGCTACCATATAAGGTACAAAAGGAAAGCAGTTTGGGGGAACTTAAGCTAGAAAAATCCATTGTGGGGAGCATATGAGGGGCTTAAGGACCCATCGAGGATTTGTATTTATCTAGCAGGAATATCACTGGAAAATCACTGAAGACTGCTAGATATGGGAATGATGAGATTGATCTGATGGTGGTCAAAAGGATAGGCTGGAAGTGAGGTGAGCCAGAGACCAGAGAGGAGCCAATTTCTAGTCCAGGGTAAGGCATTATGATCCTATGCTAGAAGCATGGCAGATGGAATGGAGAGAAAGTCATAGAATGGAGAGGCATTGTGAAGGGAAAAGGAATGTAAGATTTGACAGCAAACAAGATGGGACAAAGTGAGGAAGAAGGAAGAATTAAACACTGAAATCTTTTTCTGACCTAAATGACAGGAAATAGCATAGTGCTATCAACAGAATTAGAGAGTTCTGGAGAAGGAAATGTTTTGAGGGAAATAATAAAATCCACTTTTAAAAATGCTCAGCAGGTTGAATTATTGCAGAAAGCACATCCAGGTGGAATATCTAAATAGACAGTTGGAAATGTGGGAGTTTTCCTTCAAAAAAAGCTTAGGGCTGAACAATTTGACATGGAGGTCATCGACGGTCCCATATCATTTTCCAGTTACCCATAAAAAGTAGAATATAAGCACCTGTATATAGTTATATGGTCTCACTTGGAAAGCAAATGGGAAAATAGAAATAGGCATTCATTTATTCAATGAATATTTGTTGAGCATCTTCTATGTACTAGTCACTAAACTGTGCTCTGGAGACTCAGTGATGAGGGAGGGATACCGATTCAGCCCTCATAGAGGTTGCTGTAGCTCATTTTTAGGAACACTCCTACATCTTCAGGGCTTCTTAATGATTATTTTGTGGTAGGGGCCTGGGTGGCACAGTCGGTTAAGTGGCCAACTCTTGGTTTCCACTCAGGTTGTGATCTCAGGGTCGTGAGATTGAGCCCCACATGGGGCTCCATGCTCAGCATGGAGTCTGCTTGAGATTCTCTCTCTCCCTCTCCCTCTGTCCCACCCTTCACAAATAAATAAATGAATCTTAAAAAAATAATTATTTTGTGGTCAACAGTCTTTTCACAATGACTTTCTTACAAGCACTTAGGCTTTATTGTTAAATTATTTAAAGGCTCCTCTAATTCAGTTTATTTTTCTTTCAGGATACATATAGCGGTTTGATGGGTCCTCTGATTATTTGCAGAGAAGGATTGTTGAATGAGAAGGGAAGAAGAAGCGATGTTGATTATGAATTCGTTCTCTTGTTTTTGGTATTTAATGAGAATGAATCCTGGTATCTGGATGACAATATAAAGAAGTATCTCAATAAAGATCCACGACATTTCAGGCACACTGACGACTTTGAAGAGAGCAACAAAATGCATGGTATAAGACCCGTGTTGATATAAGCTCATAGAAATTCCTATGACTGTAGGAGGTCCCCAGCCTCCTTCTCTGAACCCTTCCCCATTCCCAAGGGCACATGCACTAAAGAAAGTCCTCTAAAACTTTCCTTCAGAGGGAATGAGCTAAGCCATTGGTTGGCTGCCAGCAAGGTCCAGTGCAACTTTGGATCCATTGTTTAGGGAGCTCTATCTCTGAAGCCTGGGATCCCTAAACTATAAGACTGTAAAGTAATTCTTAAAAAATGACTGATCACTTATGGGTATATTTCTATAAGAATACATCCATAACCTCTAGCTAATCAAATTTAAGGGTCTGGTTTAACTGACGCTGGGACATGAAATACCATCACCAAATTTCTGTTTTAATGTGTCTATGTTATTTATTTAATTCTATAGAATTTAAGGTAGTTTTTTTTTTTTTAAGTGGGAGTAATATGTTCTAATTGACACACCCATACTCTCTCACCAAGATCTACTTCTGACCAAAATATACAAAAAGATAGGCCTTGCCCAAGGTCACAAATTTAAGTATTGCTAACATTGATTAGAATAGGTAGGCTGATTTCTGATTCAGCTACTCTTTCCTCTACAATTTTGCTTCCCCCATACTTCCCTTAGTACGCTCTCTATTTTTAATAAATGTAACTCATTTGGTTGTGGTACAATGCACAGAATAAAAAGTTAGTAGAAAGCAGGGTGAGAGCCCCCATCAGGTCAAACCAGCTTGAGTTTGCTTTGGTCATTGTAATAGCATGGGCTCAGCCCGTGTGAAGCTTTTATTCTTTTGGCAATTCAGCCTGCTTAGGAACTTGCCCGAAACTAGTTCTCAAAAAGCAAAGTATTAAGGGAATAGCTTCTGATTCATTCAGTTTTGACTCATATGACCTTGATTCTCTGTGCTTTAGTTCACTCATCTATATGGAATGATATAAATAATGGCTGCTTCAAAAATGAGCCTGTAACCCACTCCATAAAGAGAATGTGCCAAACCAGCAAGCAGACAAACAACACACACTGCTACCCAAAATGTAGTTAAAAAAAACAAAAAACAACTGTGACTTCTCTTTTCTGGCTTTCTTTTACAAGAAAAGATTTTGGGTCTAGAATGGTAGGGACATTGGTGTAAGTAAGATGGTTACATGTTTATAGGGTAGATGAAAATATTGGTAACCTAAAGATCTTGAACCATTTCCAAAACCCGATTGAGTAATGATCACTAATCAAAGGCTATTTTCTTTTCACCCTCTTAGCTATCAATGGAAAGATTTTTGGGAATCTCCATGGCCTTATCATGAATGAGGATACGATGACAAACTGGTATCTGTTGGGAATGGGAAGTGAAGTGGACATACATACCATCCATTATCATGCTGAGAGCTTTCTTTTCAAAGTAAGTATTAGAATATGCTTTAGCCATCAGGGAAATTCAAATCAAAACCACATTGAGATACCACCTTACACCAGTTAGGATGGCAAAAATTGACAAGGCAAGAAACAACAAATGTTGGAGAGGTTGCAGAGAAAGGGGAACCCTCTTACACTATTGGTGGGAATGCAAGTTGGTACAGCCACTTTGGAAAACAGTGTGGAGGTGTCTCAAAAAATTAAAAATAGAGCTACCCTATGACCCAGGAATTGCACTACTGGGTATTTACCCCAAAGATACAGATGTAGTGAAAGGAAGGGCCATATGCATTCCAGTGTTCATAGGAGCAATGTCCGCAATAACCAAACTGTGGAAAGAGCTGAGATGCCCTTCAACAGATGAATGGATAAAGAAGATGTGGTCCATATATACAATGGAATATTACTCAGCCATCAAAATGATGAATACCCAGCTTTTGCAGCAACATGGATGGGACTGGAGGAGATTATGCTAAGTGAAATAAGCAGAGAAAGTCAATTATCATATGGTTTCACTTATTTGTGGAACATAAGGAATAACATGGAGGACATTAGGAGAAGGAAGGGAAAAATGAAGGGGTAGGGAATTAGAGAGGGAGATGAACCATGAGAGTCTGTGGACTCTGAGAAACAAACTGAGAGTTCTAGAGGGGAGGGGGTGGGGGGATGGGTTAGCCTGGTGATGGGTATTAAAGAGGGCACGTTCTGCATGGAGCACTGGGTGTTACACACAAACAATGAATCGTGGAACACTACATCAAAAACTAATGATGTATTGTATGGTGACTAACATAACATAATAATAAAAAAAGGAATATGCTTTGGGGAAGACTTTTTGAGCTAAAAGATTCAATGTATATTCACTGTGAACAAAGATGGCTTGTGAGGTTCATATTAGAAAACAGAACAGAATAATGTGATTATACCCTTCTCCTGGTAGATCTTTCTTAATATATATATATATAGTTGTGCTTGTGAGAAACTCTCCAAGCCTCAGATGAGAGTTTTCTCATCAGTTGTATGGGGATAATTTTTACCACTCTGGATTATGCTGTTAATACTGTATATGAAAGCACCTGTAGTAGTTTGTTTCTTTTCCTTAACCTTCCCCTTTTCTTTTACTTTCCTTCTAGTTCCTTTCTTTTCTATGTCATTAGCTAACAGAATGGTCCTATCCAGTAAAGGAGATACTTCAAGCTCTGGCTTGGGCTCCAAAACTTATCTTGCTTTTTTTTTTTTTTTTTTGCCCTACTGAGCTGGGCTGGGTTTTTTGTTGTTTTTTGGGTTTTTTTGCCCTACTGAGCTGGGCTGGACCATGTGTGGCCTTCTGCCTGTCTAGCATCAAGCTATTCCATCTCGGTGGCACAGGCTATATGGAATCAACCCGGGGAGCTGTTTAAGAAACAGACTGCCAGGCCCCACCCTGGTCCTGAGGAATCAGAATCCCAGGGATAAGGTCTAAATAGGCCATCATCCGGGGTGCCTAGGTGGCTCAGTCAATTAAGTGTTTGACTTCAGCTCAGGTCATGTTCCTGGAGTTCTGGGATCAAGCCCTGCTTCAGGCTCTGTGCTCAGCAGGGAGTCTGCTTCTCCCTCCCCTTCTCCCTCTGCAGCTTCCCCTGCTCATGCTCTCTCTCCCTTTCAAATAAATAAATCAAATCTTTAAAAATAAATAAATAAATAAATAAATAGGCCATCATCCCAAGTGCTTAGTGAAGTCTATAAAGAAATATAAGAATAGAAAAGAATAATCACATCTAATCTGTGGAAGTAGCTGCATTGGTCCTTTTCCATTATACAGCAATAAATAGTAACTTTAATAAAATGCCTAATATTTCCCCTCTGTATATTTATTTAACATAGTTTAAGACACCAAGTACTAGCCTACAATGACTACAGTTTTACATATTAAATGGCTATGCTGCTTTTCAGAACTTGGCTTTTTCTTTTCTTTTTTTTTTTTTTAAGATTCCATTTATTTATTTGACAGAGAGATAGAGAGAGAGCACAGATAGAGTGGCAGGCAGAGGGAGAGGGAGAAGCAGGCTC